AAAGATAAAAAGAGCAATTAAAGGTAGAGCTCTACTCACCGGAAGTGCTTTTTCCCAACCAGCTGGTAGCTCACCCGTAATGATGGACTTCAGCTCTGCAGCTTCCTCCTTGTACTTCTTCTCATATTCAGCAAACTTGGCATTCCATTCAGCTTCAAGAGCAGAACCCTCAGCGGCATGGCGACTCCAATGACTAAGATAGAAACAAACAAGATGATCTGTAATTATTGCTAGTAAACTGATTAAAACAATAGAAATTTAATGGGGTGGTCCTTACCTTTTAACATCCTCTGGCACATGGAAAGGCTCATATGGCCATCCAAGGTTCTTCCGGGTAGCATCCACTTCCTTGGCACCCAATGCAGCACCATGAACACTGTATGAGTTTGCTTTGTTTGGAGATCCAAAACCAATGGTTGTTGTCACCTGCAAAGATGCAACAGTCCAATATGGCATTGACTAATATCAAATCAAAATGAACTATGACAAAAAGACATGTTGTGGAAATGTCATATCAAATTCCCTTTGAACTCCAAAAATAGGCATTTATACCAAAAAATCATGTAGCTTGCCCTCTTACTAAGATTTAACGACAAAGCTGTTTGAGCTATTATACCATTACCACAACTATTAGACCTTTTCCAATAAAGAAGTGACAAATATAATAGTTCATAGATAATGGTTTTTTTTCTTCAAATCACATCCAAGTGTACTATATTCAACATTCAACAATTTGAAAAGAATGCAGCATATATCTGACCTTTATCAAAGTGGGTCTATCTGTGACAGCCTTTGCTTCCTTGATGGCAGCTCGAATCTCATCATACCCGGTGTTTCCATTCTTCACCCAGATAACGTGCCACCCAAGACCCTCAAAACGGGTATCAACACTCTCAGTGAATGCAATCTCAGTGTCTCCATCAATGGAAATGTGGTTATCATCATAGAAGGCTATCAGCTTCCCAAGTCCCCAATGCCCCGCAAGAGAAGCAACTTCGTTTGAAATACCCTCCATTTGACAACCATCACCCAATATAACATATCTGCAGTGAAACAACACCTATACTGCTAAGCAAAAATCAAAGAGTGGAAGGGATAAAAACGAGTTCAAATGTCAAGGTAGTTATTTTACGTGTAGTGGTCAACGATCTCACTGTCTGGCTTGTTGTAACGTGCAGCCAAGTGCTTCTCAGCAAGGGCCAAACCAACAGCATTTGCAATGCCTTGCCCCAAAGGACCTGCATAAAACGATGAAAATTTTAAGAATACCATCTAAAGCTAATGAATTTTTTTTCCCTTCTAAAAAGAGTAATCAATTAACCTACA